TTGACTTCCTTCCTTATCCCTCTTTTGTAATGGTTATGTCAATTAAGAACATCAATTAACCTAACAATGTTGATGTCACCTACTCAAATCATCCATGTTGATTCCTCACACATGAAATTCATAAGAAAACCTAATAAATGTTGATTCCTCACACAATTAACAGATTTTCCAGCATTAGGGTTAGGGTGTTAAGCAATTGATACATTCATTCCATTCTTGTCAATTAACGTAACAAATATTCTTACCGTGATCTAGGGTTCAAGATATATTTTCCAATCATACCTCAAACAATCAAGAATAAATCATTCCAAAGCATAAAGGATAATAATAATAACAACATCAAAACATAGATTAAGATCTCAAAATATCACCATGATACAAAAGAGTTCAAAGGAAGTGCACCGAATCCTAAGAGAATGAAGTTAGTCACTCATGTTGGCCATTACAATGCTCCAATTGATGAAGAAGTGAAGAATTGATGAAGATTAGACAAAACCCTAACAGTAGTCGTGCCTCCTCTCCTCCAAGACTGCTTGCTTTTCTCAAAACACAACTTATCTTTTTATAAGAGAATTTGGGTCGGGCCTCGCATCATTTATTTACTTAAGCGCTCTTCTTTCTTTCAATTTTACTCCAATTATGTTGACAATTATGCTCCTTACTCTTGTATCAAAGTATTCTCGAATTCATCCTATATTGGGAGAAAAATATATTAGAATTAACATAAGTTAAGTGGTTTCATAACAATTCAAGGCATAATTATATCAACTTTTTACCATTAACAGTTTCTGTTGAATTTGATCCTTTTGGGTTTTCGATGAAGGATTTGCACATAGGGAACTATATAATGAGATGTAACAACTTTGGAGATCTTTACCCCATCCATACCAACTATCATACAATCTTCCCACCAACACTTCCTTCAACATTTACAACTTTGTCTTTCACTTTGTGACACAATCGTTTAGGACATCCCAAAGCTACTATTCTAAACTCTCTTCTTTGTCAAAATTTCATAAATTGTAACAAAGACAGTCATGGTTTTTGCACTTCTTGTCCTCTTGGTAAACATGTGAAATTACCATTTATCTCTTGTTCTTTTACTGAATTTTCCTTTAATATTATTCATAGTGATATTTTGGATATCACCCATATCTAGTTCTTATGGCAATCGATATTATGTATTATTTTTTAATGATTTTAGCAAATTTTTGTGGGTTTTTCTCATTTCTAAAAAATGACAAATTTATTCCATTTTTCAATCTTTCCAAAATCTAATTTAAACCCAATTTGAAAGAAACATTAAAAATTTGCAATATGATAATGGAAAATAATTTGCTAATGATTCGTTTAAAAAATTATGTGAATAAAGTGGAATACAATTTAGGTTATCTTGCCCTCACACCTCTCATCCAAATGGCAAAGTTGAACGACATATTAAATCCATTAACAACCTTATTTGCACCTTAATAGCATACTTATCCATGCCACTTTCTTTTTGGGACCATGCTCTTCAAAAGACCACTTATTTACTAAGCATTCTCTCCCACCAAAGTTATAGGATATCATTCCCTGATGCAAATCTTCTATCGTAAAAATCCAATATTTTCCCATCTTCGTGTCTTTGGTTATCTTTGCTAGCCTCTATTTCCAATCATTATAATCAAGTTGCAAGCCAGGTCCACCTTGTGTGTTTTTCTAGGCTATCCGTCAAACCATCGAGGTTACAAATGTTATGATCTTTCAAGCAGAAAAATAATTATTTCACGTCATGTAATTTTTAATGAGACACAGTTTTCTTTCTCAAAAATATATGACCCATCTCCAAGAGAATATGACCCCTTAAGTGAAAATACCTCTCCACACTTAATCCATCACTTACAAACCTATGTACCATAAAATCAAATAACACAACCCACACTTTCTCTTACATATACATGTCCAAGTTCTCAACCAACGTCACCCTCTCCTCAATTGGCCTTGTCCCCTCACACCAATCAACTCTCAACCTCACCAATTACTACTCCCTTTTCTCAAACCTCAACCCGTCAGCCCACAATAACCCATCCTAGGCCTCACCACATGACCACTCGTAGTCACCATGATATAATTAAACCAAACCCAAAATATACCCATAATTTGAGTGCTTTGACCACCACCTTTATTTCTCCTTTACCTAAGAATCCGGTGAGTGTTCTTCATGACCCAAATTGGAAAAATGTCATGACTGATGAATATAATGCTTTACATCAAAACAAGACATGGGAGTTGGTACCCCTCCCCTTGATGTAAATATAATTCGATCTATGTGGATTTTTAGACATAAATGTAACTCTGACCATTCTTTTGAGAGGTATAAAGCTTGTCCTGTAGGTGATGGTAGGTCACAAAAGAAAGAGGTAGATTGTAATGAAACATTTAGCCTGGTAGTGAAACAAGCGATCATTTAAACAATTTTAACCACTTCTTTGTCCAAATCATGACCCATTCATCAGTTGGACGTCAAAAATGCATTTTTACCTGGTAATCTAAATGAAACCCTTTATATGCATCAACCCATGGATTTTGAGGATTCCTATCCTGATTATGTTTGCTTGTTAAAGAAGTCATTATATGGTCTAAAACAAGTCTCTTGTGCTTGGTACCAACTGTTTGCAAATTATATAGCCATAATCGATTTCAAACACAGTAAATCCAATCACTCTTTATTCATATATTATAAAGAGTCTAATATTGCATATATTTTGTGGGGGTGACAAAACGGGTTACGGATTTTGGCCCGATCCCATCAAAGAGGCAGTTTGGTGGGTTGACCCGCCATATATATTTGTTTTAATTTTTGTTTATCCTTTTTAAATTAAAATTTTCAATAAATTTAATAATAATATTATTATTTGTTTGTCAACAATTCAATATATATATATATTTCAAGTTAATAATATAAATTGATATATTATTTTATTGAATTATATTTTAGAATAATCAATTAAGATAAAATTTATATAATAATAAATAATAATAAATTCATGTATGTATCAATCAAAATTTATTATATGATTTTTATCTTATAGGAAGATGAAGAAAAATGAGCAAGAAAGATATGATAAGTAAGAGGAGAAGAGAGATGTAGTTTTTGCTTGAGAGAGGAAAGTGTCCCCGTAATGTGTAAGTGAGAATGAGATTTTTTGAATTTTCTTAGTAATGAGACACTGAGACTTTTTGAATTCTCTTAATCAGACACTAAGACTTTTAGAAATTTTTTTTTTCACAATTTTTTATATTATATGTTACCTTTTTTATTCACTGTATCACAATAAAAAAAATTATTAGTAATGTGGACCATAGGTTGGCCCCATGGCCAGGCTTGGCGGGATGGGCCAGAGCGAGCTGGCGGGTTGAAAATAATAACCTACCCCGTCATATTTATAACAGGTCGGTCTGCGGGGTCTGACTTATTTTGTCGTCCCTAATATTTTGTTATACGTTGATGATATTATCCTGGTGGCTTCCTCTTATTCTCTTAGAAAGTCTATTATGTCATTCTTGAGTGTAGAGTTCACTATAAATGATCTTTGTCCACTCAGTTATTTTTTGGGGATTGTAGTTACCCATCATGCATATCTCACAGAAAAAGTATGCAGAAGAAATTCTTGAAAGAGCAAGGATGACTAATTGCAAAACTTGTCTCAAACCAATTGACACAAAACACAAACTTGGTGTTTGTAATGACATTCCTTACGAGAATCCTACTAAATATAGATGTCTTATTAGAGCATTGTAATATCTTGCTTTTACAAACCTAATATTTCTTATGCGGTGCAACAAGTATATCTTTATATGCATGATCCCAAGGAAGAACATATGCATGCTCTCAAGTGTATTTTACGTTACATTCAGGGTACTATTAATTTTGACTTGCATTTGTACAAATCCATTATTGGAAACCTCCTCTCTTATACAGATGCAGATTGGGGTGGATGTTCGGATACTAGATGGTTTACATCTAGGTATTGTGTTTTTCTTGGTGATATAACTTGATTTTTTGGACGTCCAAACGACAACCAACATTATCTCGTTTTAGTGCTGAGACTGAATATAAAGGAGTAGCTAATGTTGTTTCTGAATCTTGTTGGATTCGAAACCTTCTTTTAGAGCTTCATTGTCCAATTCAAAAAACTACATTAGTGTATTGTGATAATGTGAGTGCCATTTATCTATCGGATAATCCTGTATAACATCAACACATAAAATATATTGAGATGAACACACACTTTATACGTGGTGAAGTATGTGTCCTTCATGTTCCGTCCTGCTATCAAATTGATGATATTTTCACTAAAGGTCTTCCATGCGTACTCTTATATGATTTTCGGAACAATTTAAGCATTTATCAACTTCTCGCTCAGTTGAAGGGGTGTGATAGATATTATTATATAATATAAGTTGTTATTATTTTAAGAATATTTTATAGTATTAATTATCTAAATATTAACTTGTTAATTATAATGAAAACTTAAATTATAATTTGTATTTTATATATATATTCCTAATCAATAGAAAGATAATCGAGATGATTTCCTACCGATACAGTATTATGAGAGAGATACAATATTATGAGAGGTAGAAATCTAAAACTATAGGAAAGAAATTTGATTTGTGTTACTTTACGTCAATTTTTTTGAGAGGTAGAAATCTAAAGCTGTAGAAAAAAAGATTGATTTGTGTTACTTTACGTCACTTTCTCCAAGCGTGTAGAAGAAAGATTGACTTGTGTTACTTTACGTCACTTTCTCCAAGCGTCTTAGTGCTCCACTTCCTCGGCTCCATTATCACACACACTACAATATAGCCACATAATAAAATGCCATGATGAAGACCACAACGATGTTCCATTATGGCAGCTATTTAAAAATAGCCACTATACAGATTAATAATCCTTGGATGAAGTCCTCTACATGTATATCTCATATAGTTGCTAGTTTCCATCTTTAACAAATCCTATGTCTACAATGATGTTTCATGTGGATGATGCTAAACTGACCATGATGTTTATTTTCTCATGGTTGTGTCTGCATAGTTCTTATGCGTTGGTGAGTGACAGTTTAAGGCCAGGGGGTACATTTGATCACTCAACTACGCTATGTTCACCAATGAATAAGTTTTGTTTGAAATTTGGACCTCTTCAGTTTGACCCCACTCACACCTACTTACTCATTCGCAACACACGCACTCCAACCGGATATGCTGTTTGGATTGCCAACAGAAATGACCCTATTTACAACAATTCTGGGGTGCTTCTAACATTGAATCATTCAGGTGCTTTAAGTATCACTAGTCAAGGTAGGAACCCCATAATACTCTACTCACCTGTTCTACCAACCACAAAAAATGTTGCTGTCACCCTTCTGGATTCTGGGAACTTAATCCTTGGAGAATATGATGCTAGTGGATCTATGAAAAAAGTGATGTGGCAAAGCTTTGATCATCCTTCAGATGTGTTGCTACCTGGTATGAAGTTAGGGGTTAATCACAAGACTAATCAGTCATGGTTGGTTGTGTCATCATTTTCTACTATCAACCCATCTTCAGGTTTCTTTGCACTTGAGTGGGAGCCGAGGAAAGGAGAATTGGTGATTAAGAGGGAAGAGATTATATATTGGACAAGTGGAGTCCTGAGAAACAATAAATTCGACAATGTTCCAAGGCATATGCAGCTTATGTATGAGTACAACACCGTCTCAAACAAGGATGAAGAGTCCTTTAGTTATGTAAGTCATAATGATCACTCGCAGTGGGTGTTGTTTAGTAATGGAAACTTGCAGGATACAGAAAATGGAGATATTGCTCAAGCTCAAAACTGTAATGGCTATAAAACCAAGGAAGGTTGTGAGATATGGGAGGACCAACCCGTGTGTAGGCATTCTGATGATACATTTGAAGTTCAATCAGGATACTTTGATCATCCAACGCCTCAAAATAATGATTCTTATGCAGATGATAAGAACATTACACTAACTGAAACTGATTGCAAGAATTTTTGTTGGAGAAATTGCAACTGTGTTGGGTTCGCAACTTATTTTCCCAACCAAACAGGGTGTAAATACTATTATGGAGGATGGGTGCCTACATATGTGAAGTCTGCAGGATTGAGTGTCAACATTCTTGTGAAGACCAACCGACATCACAAAGGTATCACTTCCAGTCTTTGTTTAGTTAATCTACTTAGTACAAACAGTACCTTTTTTATGGATTCTGAAGACTTAAATTCACCAAAACTTGGTATCAACATTCCACCAGGCCAGAGTAGTCAGTTTTGGGATTCTGTGTGGACCATTTTAAGATAAAACACCATTTTAGTCTCTCGAATGTAGTGACATTTATCAATGAAACTAGAAAAATTCTTAAGATATCATATCAAATAAGTTCTTAAACTACTAAGAATATATTAGTTTTTAAATATATGCTATTAATATTATTTAAGCTAAATGACTTTTTAATTTTGGATTAAAGTAATTGAGAAATTGTACCTTTGAGGACTTTTTCTAAATTCTTACTTTTGGAGACTAATATGACAATCTTAAAAACCTTCAAGACTTGAATGTTTGTGTTACTCATTTAAGCAATAGATTTCGGACCTTTGAAGGTACATAAGATTCATGTCCAACCTAATCTCAGTATCAAATTTACTTTAGAACATGTGCATGGAGTGAGGAATTGATTCTTGGTGAAAAACAGTCAGGTTCTAATCTTTGAGGGGAACTGGTTTGATATGTGTAGTTCACATAATAATTAAGTTAAATCATTGCAGTATTAAACATTCTATCAAAGAAATGTAATTCAAGATCCTCAACTCTAAGAAAACCACTTATACTGTATTTTGTGATTGGAACTACAACACAGATATGAAGAAGTGGTTTAAAATTGGTGTTCCGGTTGGAACAACTTTACTCATAATTAGCCTTGGCATTTTCTGTCTGTGGATGAGGAGAAGAAAAGCTTCACATCAAGGTACTTATTTCTCAATTTTTATAGATCAGTACCATCACCCAGTTGCGTTTCAAGCACTACTTTTCCTCCATCATAACAGTAACAACGTTTTGGTACAACTTGCCTTAATAGAGAAGAGAAGCAAAATGGGGAGCGGCATTTTTAATTTCGTGGTGTCTGAGAGATGTAATAGTTTAGATGAACATCAAAATGAATTGAAAAGTGGGAATTCCTTAAGAATTTTCAGTTATGCATCAATCATGGTGGCTACTAAAAGGTTCTCAATGGAAAACAAGTTAGGAGAAGGGGGCTTTGGACTTGTGTATAAGGTATTGCTTTAAATCCTAAACATGGTTTTTCTTTTTCAAGATTACTTCCTGAAAGAAATCAATAAAATTTGTCAACATCATTTCAGGGACTATTACCCCAGGGAGAAGAAATAGCAATAAAAAGACTTTCGAAAGGTTCAGGGCAAGGAGACACTGAGTTTAAAAATGAATTAACTCTCATATCTGAACTCCAACACATGAATCTTGTTCAGTTGTTGGGTTGCTGCATTCATGAAGATGAAAGAATGCTAATCTACGAGTATATGCCTAACAAAAGCTTAGACTACTTTTTATTTGGTGAGAAATTATTATGCTTAGTAAAACAAGAACTACATCAGCTTTTTTTGTTTTGTTATACTTTTTTTCTGTGCATACTTTATTTCCTGCTGCAAACACTAACAATTTACATGCTACTAATGGGAAGATTCGACTCAAAGCGAAAAATTAGATTGGAGAAAACGTTTTAACATAATTGACGGGATTTCTCAAGGACTGCTCTATCTGCATAAGTATTCAAGATTAAGAGTAGTTCACAGAGATCTGAAAGCAAGTAACATTCTACTTGATTCAAATATGAATCCAAAAATTTCAGATTTTGGTATGGCTAGAATTTTCACACAAGAGTCAAATATAAACACTAAAAGGATTGTCGGAACATAGTGAGTAAGCTTAAAGGACTCCTACTTGGTGCTTCTAATTTATTCTTAATCTAACAGACATTATGTCATATGTTATACTATGCAGCGGTTACATGTCACCTGAGTATGCCATGGAGGGAATTTTCTCTTTCAAATCTGATGTCTATGCTTTTGGAGTCTTGCTGCTTGAAATTATCAGTGGCAGAAGAAACAATGCTACTGATTGGCCACTCAATCTAGTTGGACATGTATATTCTCACGAGGGTGTTTGATTAGTAATACTATTTAACCAATTTAAAATGAGAATTCCCTTTTCTTTTGTTTGGCATCTAATATAGTAATATGGTTTGTTTTCTTCTTGTGGCCTAGGCTTGGGAGCTATGGAAACAAGGCAAGGCACATGCACTAGACCTCTTAGATCCAACTTTAAGAGAACCATTCACTCAAGAGGAAGCATTAAGATGCATTCATGTTGGTCTTCTATGCGTAGAAGAATGTGCATCTGATCGTCCCAACATTTCAGAGATAATCCCCATGTTAACCAGTGAAATTGCAACATTTCCATTGCCTAGAAAACCAGCATTTTATCGAGGAAGAAAATTGGTTGAGGAAGACAGTTCTTCAATTGATAATGAAACTCATTCAGTAAATGGTTTAACTATTTCTAACATAGGTGAAAGATAAGTCTATTAATGAAACAATAGTTATGTCTGTTTTAGTACTTGTTGTTTTCTTCAAGGACTAAATTTATTGACAAATGTAGCCCCATTGTTCAATCATCTAAATGCAGTTTCATTTACTAGTAGTTCAACCTTTTAACCAAATAACTTAGCATCTCAGAAACATTACCTCACTCAGAAGATAAACGAACTCCTTCTACTCCTCTAGCAATTTCCTTGGCTTCTACCACCAACCCCTTTGGACGTGTGATAGATACACTGAATGAAATAACCACAACTTTACGAGAAAATGTCTATGCCAAAATCTTGTAAAAGAATTGAGTTCTGTTTATCTATGTGGCGCTGAAAAATCAGCATCTAAAACGGTCAAAGTGTCTGAACAAGAGTTAAATACATTCTATATAACTACTGTTTACCCAACAGTTTTATATCAATAAATTATATAATATGTTGAAGCAAATTCTAATAAAGAAAATAATATAAACAATAACTAAAAAACTTCATTAAAATTTTATCATTTTCTAAATCCTATCATCTTGTGTTGTGGGGTAGATATAAAAATACGGAAAAACATTAATGATAAAAAAAATAAGACATTTGTTACTTGTATTTTATAAAGAATTTTACAAGGACTATGATGTTTAATTAATAGTGACATATTTTCACCAATAATTTTGTAACAAATAAAACAATATATGAATATGTAATTGTGACTATTGAGTAAGATGAATATGAGAGAAAAAAATATCAATTTAAAAGTGAAAAATAAAATAAATACTATGATGAAACTTTATCGAAAGATTATAGAAAAGTAGGAGAATATAATTTTTTTATTCAATCCAGTGCTTCACTCTCTTATGAAAAAAAAAATGAAGAGAATTTATATATATATCTTGAATTTTTCGTCAACCCTTACTTAATTTTTCCGTTTGTTGATTATTCACGTGTTCGATAACTGAATATGCAGTAGAGAGTAACACAAAAGTTTCTTCCTTTTCGTTCTCTTGAAATGAACCTATCTTTAAGCGGTGTATATCGTCCTCATAGCTTGCCCAAACTCCTCACTTATTCTTCTTTTAGCACTCTGTGCAGACCCTTTTGCTATTCAGCACTGTCGTCTTCCCCCACTTGTGTGAAACCGCAGGTTCCCCTCTTTCTGAGGCCACCCATTTACTCAACCAAGTTGTGTGACCTCAAGAAATGGCACGATTGGGGCAAAGGTGTTGCCCTTTCAATCGGGTCAACTTTTGTGCAATCAGATGATGGGCCAGACTCAAGCATGTTGTGCAGGGAGCTCAAGTGGCTCATGGAAGATGCTGTTGTAGACCACTCACTGGGTGTGGAGGATGATGACAGGGTGAAAATGAGGATTGGCATAGAGGGGCTGTACTGTTTATGGAAGCAAAGAGTCCAAGAGAGGAGACCCTTTCAGTATGTGGTTGGGTGTGAGCATTGGAGGGACTTGGTGTTGAGTGTCCAGGAAGGGGTCTTGATTCCAAGACCTGAGACAGAACTTGTCGTTGATTTTGTGGCCGATGTGGTGTCAGAGAATGAGGATTTGAGAAGTGGGGTGTGGGCTGATTTGGGGACTGGAAGTGGTGCCCTTGCTATTGGTATTGGTCGGGTTTTGGGGAGTGAAAGAGGGAGGGTTATTGCCACAGATTTAAGCCCTGTGGCTGTTTCTGTTGCAACTTACAATGTGCAGAGGTATTGCTTACAGGTTAGAGATTCAAGCCTTTTCAATCTCCATGTTGTCAATTCCTTTTAGTTGGCCTTTTTCGACCATGGTTTTCGCTGCCTCCATTGGTTTTATTGTTGGAATTCAAGTGCTTGTTGAATTCCACATTGTGTAGAAAATGATAATTTTTTAATAACATATAAGTGAGAACGGCCACAAAAATAAAGTTTTAAGATTTTAAGTGGAAAGGAATGTGATATTCTCTTCTATGATTTTCATTGGTGAGTATCTTCCCGTTAATAGCTTCCCTCATAATACCCAATATTTATATGAAATTACTAAAATTTTGGAGAACATATTTCCACCTTTATTGTGACTTTTTTGCCCATATGTTTTTGTTGATTTTTCATATGCCTTTCATTCAATGTGTCTTGCATGATATAATGATATTGTGTGTTTGTTTTCAAGTCAAAGCTGAAAATTGAACTAGAAGTAAAAGCAAGATTAAAGAAAGTCACTGTTTTAGGCTATGTTTGATTTCATGTTTAGAAGCTCCAAATGTCCATTCAAGTCAATGAGACTAGGTCCGTGGATTGGAATAAACGTGCATCAGAATGTGTTTAAACTGCAGCAAAGCAAAACTTGTTTTGGGTGTGGACACAACTAATGTTGCTGGGGACGAAAATCCAGCCTTTTGTTTAATAGATATTGTAGAGAAGTATATCAACGACTAAAGTAAAACAGAAGAATTTAAAATTATTGATTTGTATGTATATGCCTTTTGTTGTTTATTACCCTGTCCCCTTTCAAATATATTTTCTTAATACATCTTATCACTTCCACTTGTGATTTTTATGATCCATATTTGAACTACTTTCTGTCCTTTACAGGACAAAATTGACTTAAGAGAAGGATCTTGGTTTGAACCATTGAAAGATATGGAAGGAAAGCTAGCTGGTCTTGTAAGTAACCCACCTTATATTCCAAGTAAAGACATATCTGGTCTACAAGCTGAAGTTGGTAGACATGAACCTAGAGTTGCATTAGATGGAGGTATTGATGGAATGCAAGCTCTTCTCCATCTTTGTGATGGGGCTGTTTTAATGATGAAACCTGGTGGATTTTTAGCTTTTGAGGTATGGATCTTCTGCTTTCTACAAATTTGTACCAAATGTTTGTTTCTTATTGTGCGTCTGTTTAGTAATTTACTCATAAAAATTAATCAAAATGATACCATCTAGCTTAATTGGATGCAACTGAGTGACCTGGGAGGGGGATTCTGACACAGAATAAGTTGTCAGTTTGGCGCATCTGTTAAGTTGGAAGCTTTGGGAATGATTTTTATAGGCAATCCTCTTTGTAGAATGGTTTCAGTCAAATATGTAATTCCTGAAAATAAGAAGTCATTTTTTGTTAAACTATTTTTAATATCACTTTACTTGAATTCAAGTAAATTTCTCAAAGTATATGCATCTTCATGCTGGTACATAAATTGGATCACGGACTTCCTTTCTTTTGTCATCTTTCGTTAAATTCTTATGTGTTTGTGTTGCCTTAAATCTGATGCTTATCTTGCAAAACTTTGACATTTTGTTAGGAACCAAGAATTGAAAAGATAAAGAAAATAATTTTTTTTTATTGAATAGAATGAATAAAACAAGAAATAGAAGTAACACTTTCTCTTCCAAGGGTTTCCCCTTTATAAAGAATTTCTCTTTTCACATCAATCTACAAAATGAACATCCCCCTCCTTACTCTAGAATCCTCCTATTTATAGATATTGTTGAATATAGAGGAAATACGGTTTGAGATAATCTCCCTTGTGTATAAACCACACATAGGGTAATCTATTTATAATAGAGAGGGGTACAACTAAAAGATTAATCAAAAGTAAACAAAATAAATAGAAGATATTGTTTGATATTATAGTTAACAATATCTAACAATATCTTAACAATATCTAAACAATATCTAACACTCCCCCTCAAGCTGGAGCATACAAATCGTATGTGTCAAGCTTATTACAAATATAATCAATTCTAGGCCCCCGTAAAGACTTAGTAAAAATATCTGCTAACTGATCACTTGAGTTAACAAACTCAGTCTTGATGTCTCCAGACATAATCTTTTCTCGAATGAAATGACAGTCAATCTCAATATGTTTGGTCCTCTCATGAAAGACAGGATTAGAACTAATATGAAGAACAACCTGATTGTTACACACAAGTGTCATTTGAGTGACATCTCCAAATTGTAATTCTCCAAGCAATTGCTTGAGCCAAACAAGTTCACAAGAAGTTGAGGCCATAGTTCTATATTTTGCTTCTGCACTGGATCTTGCCACAACACTCTGTTTCTTACTTTTCTACGAAATCAAGTTACTACCAATAGAGACACAATATCCAGATGTAGATCTTCTATCCGAAGCAGATCTTGCCCAATCGGCATCTGAGTAGCAAACAACTCTTGTATGGTTATTAGAACCATATAATAATTCTTTTCCAGGAGATCCTTTAATATACTTCAAGATACGAATGACTGCATTCCAATGATCTTCACATGGGGAATTAAGAAATTGGCTTACCACACTGATTGCAAAGGAAATGTCAGGACGAGTAACTGTAAGATAATTCAATTTTCGAACCAATCTTCTATACTGCTCAGGATCAGATATAGGCTCCCCCTGATTTGGTAGAAGTTTAGTATGAGGATCCATGGGTGTATCAACAGACTTTGAACTCATCAACCCAGTTTCCTCCAAAATATCCATGGCATACTTCCTCTGAGATATAACAATACCATCATTGGACTGTGTCACCTCAATACCCAAGAAATATCTAAGTTTGTCAAGATCTTGGGTCTGAAAATGGTGACATAGATGTTGTTTTAACTGAGAGATGTCATGGTTGTCACTACCTGTAAGAATGATGTCATCAACATATACTATCAAGTAAACACATCTAACACTCGAGTGTCAATAAAAGACAGAATGATCTGCTTCACATCGAGTCATACCAAATTGTTGAACAACCTTGTCAAACTTTCCAAACCTGTTTTAGGCCATATAGGGATTTGTGAAGACGACATACCATCGCAGAAGACTCCCCCTGAGCAACAAACCCAGGAGGTTGCTCCGTATAGATTTCTTCTTGCAAATCACCATTGAGAAAAGCATTTTTAACATCCAGTTGATAAAAAGACCATTGTTGAAGAGCAGCCATGACGATAAATAAACGAACAGAAGCCATTTTCGCCACAGGGGAAAAGGTATCCATAATCCAACTCAAAAATTTGAATATAACCTTTGGCCACAAGACGAGCTTTGAGACGATCAATAGTACCATCAGGTCCAACTTTGATAGCAAACACCCACCTACAACCAACAACAGATTTTCCAAACGGTAACGGGATCAATTCCCAAGTTCCACTATTATGAAGAACACTTAGTTCATCTAACATGGCCTGACGCCAACCAGGATGGGTTAAAGCTTCACGGACAGTTTTTGGAATGGTCACAGAAGAAATAAAAGAAAGACATGTATAAAAAGGTAATGACAGTCGATGATAACTCAAAGCAATATAATGGGGAGAGGGATTACGTGTAGAACGGATACCTTTTCAGAGGGCAATGGGAAGGTCAGACTCAGGTATCAGATCCGGAAGAGACAGAGTAGTTGGCACTTGAGTGGAGTCACATGGTGGTGGTTGTGATTGATTTCGGCAACTATAAACCTGAAGAGGCGGTGGAGAAGAAGCTAACTGCGGAATAGGAACTAATGGTGAAGAAGACACAGTTAGAGGGTCACACACAACAGAAACATTAAATGTACTAGGAGTGTTGACAGGATTGGATGAAGACAGAGGTGAAGATTGACTTTTAAACCATAAAACCAATTGGCAATACGTGGAGTAGCCTAACATGTATTTAAATCATACCAAATTATATGAGGTAGGTGATGTGGGACTTCCAACACACCTCCTTCAACGAAGTCTGTCGGACCAGGCAAAAGGTACTTTTGACCCAACGAAAGGACAATTTTTGGCCCAAGACAATAACCGGAAATATATTAGGCTTTTGGCTCTGATACCATGTTGAACATAGAGGAAATACGGTTTGAGATAATCTCCCTTGTGTATAAACCACACATAAGGTAATTTATTTATAATAGAGAGAGGTACAACTAAAAGAGTAACCGAAAGTAAACAAAATAAACAGAAGATATTGTTTGATATTGTGATTAACAATATCTAACAATATCTTAACAATAACTAAACAATATCTAAATAATATGTAACGTATATGATTGGCCTGATACATGATATCCCTCTTAATAGTAACTAAATAGTAACTACTTCTATATCCTAATAGATTCCCTTGGACAGTTTAAGCTCTGTACTTAGAAATGTTTCTGTCACGTCCAAGGTTTACACTAATTTCACAAAACATGTAACTTCATTGTAGCCAAATAGCTATGATGTGATTGTATGTTTCCTTATGTTGTCTTAAAGCAGTGTGGGCAATTTTATCAGTATACAGTGCTGAAACCCATGTGCACATTCTTAAGTTTTGTAATATGATGAAATTCGACCAAATCCCGTATATATCTTCGCCTACAGATTCTCAAATCAAACAATGAAATGTGGATTTTTTCCAACATTAAATTGTCTCTACTAAAAATATGTTGTGAAATTTAAAAATCCACCCTCATTCATTTTGTAATTTAAAAACTTAATAGCAAGAATATAAGGAACTTGATCAAAGTTTGTCCTTTGAAATACAGTATGTTCCCTCAATTTGTAACTAAAAATGATTTTAAATCATTTTTGTGATTGCTAAGATAATGGTAGTTGCAAGCTAATAAGTGTGATACATAGAATCCAAATCCAAAAATGGATGATAGTATGAGCCAATGAACTGTTGATAAAAAAATTCTCTCACATTGAGGAAGGTTTTTTTATCACATCCGCTCACATTAAGAAAGAATGGTCCAATATTAGTCTGGTGGTTTATTCTACAACCATTAACAAATAATCTGATATTATCTTAAAAATGATGAGATACCTAACTCAATCCAATAAAATCAGTTTGGTAAGGTAAAAATTGTATTAATCTATATACTATGTTTGGTATGGTAAAAATTGTATTAATATACTATAATGTTGTATTTCTAATCGATAGGAAATCTTTTAACATGAACACTTGAGATATTTCATGGACAAGTAGTCCAAAAGGTGAAAAGATTTTATTTTTCAACTTAAGCATTTTTTATGCTGTGACATACTGTATCACTTCTAAATGTGTCTTTCCTAACTTTTTCTTAATAGACAAATGGAGAGCAGCAGTCCCGGGCTCTTGTTGATTACATGAAAAACCATAGAAGTGGAAGCTTCTGCAATTTAGAAATACGTGCGGATTTTGCTGGTATTCAAAGATTTGTAATTGGATTCCATCAATAAGCAATTTGAGTTAGATAGATGTTTATTTTATTTATTTTTTTGGGTGAATAGTTCTCCCATTGTTCAACTAGAAATTGGAGCAGCCAAATGCTTTCTTTAAAAGGAATAAAAGTCGATTGTTCGTTCATTGACTCCTGGTTTCTTTCCAGTATTCTCAGCTATCTGTTGAACACTAGTAAAAGTTCAATTTCTATGCACTGGATAAACAAATTTTTACTTGATCAATCAATGAAGAATCATTTTTGTTACTTTTTGGGGTAGATTTTCAAAAATGAACAAATGTATTATACATCATCTCTCTCAAACTTATTTTTAACCAATTCATAAAACAATTTCAAAGTTATATATGAAAATTTCTTCACAAGGATTAAGTTAACTACTCTATTATAAACAAAACATCCAAAATGAGTTTTTTCACTAAATCTTAAAAATACAATATTTGATTGCTCAAAGATTATATATAATTTATTCATTATCTTATTAATATTTTTTTATTGTTAAGAAAAAAATTTTGTAGTTTAGTTATGTGAATGACACCCAAATTCAAGATTTTTTATGTGAAAAGTATAATAAGTATTTTATTTTGAAATTATAATTTTACTTTGTATATGTACTTTCATATTTTATTATTATATATTTTTATTTTTATTTAATTTGATTATTTTCTATTTTTATGTTTTATATTTCAAAAACAATACGAAGGTTCATGGATTGTTGTACTTACCTTGTTTTATTTAGTAGTGATGTTACTACACTATTTTTTTTAAGAGATATTTGAATTACAGAATAAATTTATTATTATTATTATTATTATTATTATTATTATTATTATTATTATTGTGAATATTCATATTTGATAGAAAAAACTTCAATCTACAAAATTAAATCTAGAGTCATCAAATGTTTAAAATTTAAACCATCCTTTATACCAAATAAAAGTTTTCCTCTGATTAAATCATTATTTAAAACTTGAATGATGTTGCATGATGTCAATCATAAATAATTAGTTTGATATTGAATTATTCATATACATATAGTCTAATGCACTGTACATTTTTAAAGAGATTAAATGTAAAAAAAAATATGAATTATTTGATGTACAAAAATTAAATAAGAATAATTTATTTATTTTAATTATAAAAATATTTTCTATCGTATTTATGTAATATTTTACTCATTTTTTAATTTTATACTAAGTATAAGATTTTTTTTCTATTTATTCTTTCAGAATTCTTTGACTAAATTGTCAGATGCATATTATAAAACTAAATCTTAGATAGTTGATTTAGCTGTTGAACCTCTTTTTAGCAATCTTCTGATACTTACTATTCTTTCAAAGAGAATATTAAAAAAGTTCATACAAACACAAAGTGAAAGTACCTTCATATTTGAGTATATAAAATTTATAACACTTGTTATTTATTTATTCATCAGTTTATAATATTTTTAATATTATTTTGTATTTATAAAATGTTGAGAAGAAATGAGATGATTTATACTTATATCACTTTTTAAATATATATTCAATTACATGATAATAATGACTTTTTTATATATATCAATTAATATTTAAAAACAATAAAAATAAGTGTATAGGATTTTTTTATTAAAATTTTTAAATAAATTTCATTTTTTTACTTAATTAATAATATATTTAATTATATAACAAATATTAAAATTTTAATTCATATAAATTGATGTCTAAACATAAATTAACATTCTTAATAAAAACAATATAAAAAAATAGAATTAATATGTAAAATAAGAAAAATACAAGTCACCGAATTTTTACACGAAATTATTTTTCTTTTATAGAGAAGAAGTCTTTTATTTTATTTTTTTTGTCTTTTACAAAACTTAAAATTATTTTTGTTAACTGATATGTATTGAATTATATAAAATATTTTTCACATAAAATTTATGTTTTTAATAAACTACAATGAATATTTTTCATCAATTACACTTTTTTTTATAAAATTAACTAATTTATTTTCATGTGATTTTTAAATATTTATATTTTTTTACCTAATTTATATATATATATATATATAATTACACAATAAAAATATATATTTTTAAAATAATATTCTAAATAAGTAAAATATAAGTTTATGAGATTGGAAAATTTGCTTAAAATCATGTTAATATGTAAAATGCTATGATAAAATTATATATGTTTTTATACTAATTGATTGAGATTTTAATTTTATTTAATATGAATAAAGAATATTGGATAAAAATATAGAAAAAAGTCTTAATTTTTAAGATAAAAATATAAATAAATAAAATATAATATATAAAATAAAATTAATTATACTTAATTAGTATTCTATTATAAATATATATATATATTTTAAAAGTGAGGTGTATTATTACCAGTATCTATAAAATATTGCTTAAGCATTATTGACACCTTCACCTACAAAGATGCCCTGAGTAGGGAAACACTACAAGGCACACACTCACTTGTCTGTCATTCTTATTTTTGTTTTTTTCTGTTGACACAATCTGTGACTGTTCGTGTTATTCGAGGCCACTCTTTTATATGGTCGTTGATAAAAATGGCTTCGACCCTTTTTACAAAGATGCTTTTGGGTCATAGATTGATCCACCACCCTTCCTCGTTCCTCACTCACCAGCCACAGATTTTATCTTCTTTATTCAGTGTAAGGTTCACTCTTTCTGTCTGAATTTTCATCGGGGTTTCCTTTTTCTCTCCTGTAATTTGTGTTTTATTTATTTTTTAATTCCTATGTTGATTCCCCTAATGAGAGTTGTCATTTTGTTGGTGTGAAAATTTGGTCTTTGTGTGATTATTTGGTTGTTTTGATTTATGATTATCTTGGTTATTCCGTTTCTCATTAAAGTTTTGACTTTTGAGTGTGGGGTTTGAGATTTGTTTGGTCCAGTTTTCTTTTTGTGTTCTCTGTTGTTGATCATTTGGGGATATGCATTTGGTGAATTGCTTTAGTTGCAATTTCTCATAGGAGTATGTTCGTACAACTTTAATTTTGTAGTGTTCGGTGTTTAAGTAAGTGTATGAACTGAAGTACCCATCAACATGTTCATAATACATTGGCATGGATGGCTGGGTCTCTGCATGTTCCTTTTGAAGTGAATACTATCTGGTGGGGTTGGATTGTAATATTTTGTCTTATGAAATGGATTGAAAGGTTTCCAATTTGTCATCAATTGGAAGTATTAATTTGTGTAAGGGCATTTTTTTAATTAGTAATTTTATGAATAAGTGAATCATTAATTATGCATTTTTCATCCGTATAACCCATTAATTTATTTCTGCATTTTCTTATTGACCTGAAGATTCCTCTTGATATTTGTTTGTTATTTTGGCCTAGATATTATTGTATCATTCATCATTTTACTTGCAGAAACAGCTGTTTTGTATACAAGCTTTCCCGTTCTCTGCCCATACATCCCAAAACATCAAAACAACTGGTTGGGTTCCTTCTATGGCTTCTTCCTCATTTGGTAGAAGAGCTACATATTCAACACAATCTGTATCAACAAATGAGCCAGTTGTTTCTGTAGATTGGCTATATGATAACCTGAAGGTGCCAGATATCAAGGTATTAGGTTTACTGATTTTATTAAGCAAACAACCTCCAATAAAAATAGTTTATTAATTTTATCAGATTTGGGAAAATGAAATTTCACCTTATCCTTGCTCTACTGTTATGCCGAACCATATATCTCAGTTGTAACAGCTCTTGGCACACTATGCAGTATGTATATCATTTAACTAAAGTGCCCTGTTCTTTTGATCACTGACCTCATAATTAACGATCTGGGCACTGTATTTCTGGTTGGAGAATAGAATCACATTATTTCACAAGTATATTTACATGAATTGATATCTATTAAAACTGGCAAACAACGTAGTTTTGTTATATAGTACCTTAAACTTGTAACTGAGTTACTCAATCACTTATTTAGGTGATTGTAAAGCTGTCTAGGAACTAGATGGTCAATCTGCTGTGATTGACATCAATTGAATTTATTTCTGATATGCATGATCTGATAAAAAGATGCCTTTATATCATGGGATCCTTATTTACTCTTGAATTTGAATATTAATTTAAATACTAAAACTTTTCTTGCCAATTCTCTATTTTGTTTCAGGTATTGGATGCTTCATGGTACATGCCGGATGAACAGAGGAATCCAATTCAAGAATATCAGGTATCAGCATGATTTTATTGGGAATCACATTCTTAGGACTTTGGATGTCTGAGTATTTGAATAATATACGATATCACTTGAATTGTATGCACTTCATTATATAATTTTAACTTTATATTTCCGTCTACCATTTTCAATTAAGGTGTATTTTGTGTATTTCCATATAAAACAGGTTGCTCACATTCCTGGTGCCCTTTTCTTTGACGTAGATGGAATAGCAGATCGGACTACAAAAGTAAGCCAGTATCTCTCTATTTAAATTCATTAGTTTTGAAATTTTTATCATGCACATTTGTGTTAGAGCTGTTCTTATATGTTAACCAGGTTTACATGTCTAGTCTGTAATCATCTGATCTTTCAGTGGTATACTACAGAAAGTGGATGAAGAAAGAGAAATGACCATACTAGCTACATTTAAGTGGCAACTGCCAAAGGATATTATGCAATTTCAGGGATCTTAGAGTGATGACTGACTGATATTTCTTCTTCCTTTGGATGGATACTAGTTTACTATTTGGATTTTTTGGACAATTTAAAATTTTAGTTAATATTTTTTGTTAGAATATTATGGTTATTCATTTTGTTTGAAGTCTTGTTACACAAGTAATCTCATTGGTTGCACGATTGTTTTATAGTCTGTTTGTGTGCTATATGTCCTCTCTTTTAATATAATTTATTTTCTCCATTATAGCTAATATCTTGGTAGAACTAAGTATTATCGAAAGAAAGAGGTGGAAATTAGCTCTGACATTTCCGTGTTAACCCTCTCTATAATGCAAAGCAAACAACAAGAACAAAAATCTGTAAAATAGATACTCAAGGATTCCAAATACAAGGGATCTCCTAGAATCCTCTTAACTAAATTCACTAAATGATTTCCTGCTCTTCAGTGCTCATCCCTCTCTTCATGCCTCCCTTCTCTCATAGTACTATGATTCCTGAATCATTTGGTTATAATTCCAGAATTACTCTGGCTTGTGATTGCTAAACTTGTTCTTAACAACCTCAACATGCAATGGAGGAAGGCCCACATTTAATGCTCTTCCTCCTATAGATGAGTGATGGCTTTATCATATGTGAATGCTAACATGTATTCATTGAATCAGTTACCACACATGCTGCCATCTGAGGAAGCTTTTGCTGCTGCTGTGTCTGCACTTGGCATAGAGAACAAAGATGACTTGGTTGTTTATGATGGAAAAGGGTTATTTAGTGCAGCTCGTGTTTGGTGGTAAGCCTTGATGTTCTACTAAAAAGGAAAATATATTATGTAGATTGTGGAAACATGGATTTTGCTAAATTTTTTAACTAATAACTCTTCTTTCTGCTTAAAAGGATGTTCCGAGTATTTGGGCATGACAGAGTTTGGGTGTTAGATGGTGGCCTGCCGAGATGGCGTGCATCCGGTTATGATGTTGAATCTAGTGCTTCAAGTGATGCTATTCTTAAAGCCAGTGCTGCTAGTGAGGCTATTGAGAAAGTATACAAGGGACAAACAGTGAGTTTGTAATCTTTCCATCTATTTTAGTATGATTTTCTTTTGTGATTTGAGTTCCAAATCTTTTACTTTGATTAATTGTGTTGAATTTGGCATTTATATTTTGTTTTAATCTATTGATTCTCTCGTGTACATTTTTCTTGGTAGGTTGGCCCACTCACATTTCAGACTAAATTTCAGCCACATCTTGTTTGGAACCTTGATCAGGTTGGTTGCTGTATTATTAGTGTGATGTGGAATTCAAATTCTGACTGTGTATGTCTTGATTGCTGAGAAATAAATGAATTGTGTTCATTTTAGAATTATGAATGTTGACAATATTGCTAGTTGTAGAGGTATCAAAAGGTTTCTCACTTGAGAGTTCATAATTAGTTACCACAAAGACAAGGTTAGGGTGAAGTGACAGCTGCAATTTGGAATAGACTTAAGCAGTTTGAAACTATGAACCCAAATTTATAATGGACAATTTTCCTGCTTTTTGTCAGTCCATTATTGTAAGAATTTAATCACTATGTTATCAATAATTGAGTCTAGAACATATGAACTCTGACAATTTAAAACTACAGTACGAAATAACTAGTAACAAGATCATGCGGAGCCATACAACTTTTTATTTATTGAGAAATATTTAGCTAAAACATAATACCATTTACAAAATGTTCTTGATATCTGGTAAAGCTCTAATAGAAAAAATTGGGTGTTCGTTGCTAGTCAACCAAAGTCTTAATACTCATACCTTGATAGTTTTTTTATTGGTACAACACAAAAAACTTTGTTAGGCAGTTTATGGAATCAGGAAAAAGTCTGGTGATGATCGTAGGTTTGATCATCGTTGTATACTAAGAATAATAATATATCTTGAGTTCAAACTTTGTAATAAATCTTCTTAAAATCTTCCTAATTCATGTTGCAGTCTCTAGAAAAGTTGAAAACATTTATGCAATATGGTTCTTGGTGTGGGCAATATGATATTCTTTTTTAAATGCTTGGTCTATGAAATACCAAAATTAACTAAAACTATAAGAGGCATCATATGTAAGTTGGAAACCTGTATTGTTTCTCATTTCAGGTAAAGAAAAATATAGAGGACAAAACATACCAACACATAGATGCTCGATCAAAGCCCAGGTATTCTTAATTCCTTTTATATTTTCATACCATCACGTGATATGCATTTAACACACAAACATATATATGTATGTAATGTATGTATATGTTAAATAGTTTATATTATATAATTTATATTCATATAAATGCTCAAAAATAAAAAGTTATCCAAAACCAAAGGCATACCCATAATCAATGATCAAAAGTAATAATCTACATTCTTATCACTCTTAATCTAAGGCATAGTTTTTAAGATGAAAACAGCAAAATCAAATACAAGGGGTGAAAAGTAACAGTGCACCAAATTTTATGTAAGTTGATGTAGTGCCACATCAAATAAAAGGAAATACATGGGGGGATGTGATGTGTGAAAAGCATAGAAGCAGAGGACTGTGAACAATTTAAGCATGTGAACTTTTGAAGAGCTTACACTCTACAGAACATGAAAGGGAACAGATATGTGGCAGAGTGAAAGGATGCAAACTGAGTGGTATGAACAGACAACAGAGACCTGCATAAAGGATGTACATGGTTGAGCAGATCATCAGAGGAACCCAGACTAGGCAAAAATGTTGCTGATGGGCAATGGGTCTGGGGTGTCAAAGTTGAAACAGGTCAAGCGAAGTGTTTCTGTACGAATCACTGATGAAGGATTTCAAACTCTATTAAGTTTCTAATGACAAAAATCAGAAGAAATCATATTTTATAATATAAAGAAGTGGGTTGGAAAACTCAGAAATGGGGGGGCAAAAAAGGGTTTTCTACACCTGTTCTCCAAGGTGCTATAACAACTCAACTCCATTATGCTAAGATATATGGTGGCATGACACATGGAATTCTGAAACAGCAAAAGGCACATAATAACTGGTAGCAACCTTCTCCGACACGACAGTGCCGTAGCATGCTATCATCCCCTGGCTTGTACATAATGATAACTGATGTTTTCATAACGATAGATATTTACCCCACCTAGTGGGAGATATCTTAAACCCTTTGGTTGTCATTGCTGTATCAGTCGATACTTTTACAAGTTACTTTATTTTCCATCTATTTATTATTTTTTTCTTTTAATTAAGAATTTTTTTTGTCAAGATTTTGTTTTTTCATATGCATTTCTTGGACTTATGTAGACTTTGTCCTTTGGCAGGTTTGATGGAGCTGTTCCAGAGCCCCGAAAGGGTATCAGAAGTGGTCATGTACCTGGAAGCAAATGCATCCCTTTTGCCCAGGTGCAGCATATGGTCACCCCTATTTTTGCTTGATTACCCAGAGAAGCATTTTAGATTTAATAATTGAAACATTTGTTTTTTCTAGCTAGTCCTCCTCATATGGGTGTATTTGGTTAAGCAACTTAATTAAGCTCATGTTCAAGAAGATTTTATCACATAAGAGCATTTGTGTTGGGTGGAGTTGTTGCAATTGAGAGAGCTGTAGAAATAAACTGAAGAAAAAAAAGCTTATGGGAGGGTCTCTTAGTGAAGATTGGGAGAGCTAGGTCTTTATATCACTATATTCTAAATTATTAATCTATCATTCACCAGTATGATCTTTGGCCATATAGGTTTGTAGATTGTAGGTTCCATCAATAAAGATTACATGCTTATATTTGTTCTGATCCAGTTTTATTATTCTGACTGATATTATGTATGTATTTGTTAGACTATTTTATCAATGTTAGTTATCTTCATTTACAGTTGTTAGATAGTTCACATACATTGTTACCCGTAAATGAGCTAAAGAAGCGATTTGAACAAGAAGGTATGCATGTCTTCTGATTGATATCGGTTATGCTAAATCTCTTACATTTATTTTGATCTTGTCACCTCTAAGGGCATACATAATACATTCCTATGGATCTGCAGGCATCTCTCTGGATAGCCCAGCTGTCACTTCATGTGGAACAGGCGTAACTGCTTGCATTCTTGCATTGGTACATCTCTCCCTCTATTTGGATGTGTGTATTGATATCTGTTTCTTTGGGAAGGGAATAGATAAACTTACTTCCATTATGGATGGAATAATACCTATTTCTCTATGGTTACAAAAGAGGATAAATTGCTTGAAAATGATTTTCATAAGTCAGTCCCTTCCTCTGGTTTCACTTATCATTTGCTTAATAAGGATATTTGTTATTCCGGAGTCGGTACCTTCCTTTGCTTCACTTTTTACTTGTCAGAGATATATTTTTTATCATGTTTTTCTTTCTCCTGATTTCTCCTATTCGTTTCATTCATTTCTTTTTTCATATGTAATTTTGATTCCTCATCCTCTCATAGGAGTGTTGGCACTTGTCTTCATTAGATTGGACATACCTATTCAGTCACACTTGAATATCCTGAACATGATGTCTGGAAATAAAAGAATAGGCTGATATGATTATATAGATTTTTGAAAGTTTCAAACTTTCCAACATATGCATGTATGCTCTTCTAGTGGCAATAATTGCCAGGACTTAGAATTTGTTTCAAATTTTGTCAGTGTTATAGACTTGATAAAGGGGGCATCTCTTTTCCTTACTTTTGATTATAACAATCTCCTTTTTCAGGGCCTGCATCGTCTTGGAAAATCTGATGTTGCAGTTTATGATGGATCTTGGACTGAATGGGGATCACACTCTGATACACCCGTTGACACTTCATGAATTCAATAATGCTAGATTTTCATGCCACCAAAAAGCGTCTGCAAGTGAAGGGGTTGAATCCAGTTGTCAGACACTTTGGATACCAAATTTTCTCTGCTGCACTGTTTCTTGTCTTGGTTTAATTGTGGTTGAATTGTGAATGTTTTCCATATTTGAAGTTAAATCCTGTCATGTGGCTTATGAAAATAACGATAGGATTGTTCATGAAGGCCTCATAGAAGTGGGAGTTTGATGAGTATGCTAAAATTACAAAATAAAATTTTCTGATGCTAGTTTTAACATCTTCTCTTCAATAAATTTATCTATAGAATTGTTTTGGAATCTGTGTACCTACCTGGGTAAAACATAGATTGATACAGGCACGCCCCTCAAAATTAAGGAGAAAACATAAAATAGAAAAAGAAAACACTGATATTTTGTATTATTTGCAAATTAAATGAAATACAGAAGAATAACACATCTTGTTCCTCTGTCCAGTAATTTGTCATTGCTTTCTTGAGAAGGGACGCATGAAATATAAGATGTATCCTTGAAGGAAGCAACTTCAAATAATAAGTAATCGTGCCTATCTTTGCCATCACAGAATGTTGTATATGTTGCTTGAGTCTTAGAATTACTATCTCCCCTACAACAAAGTTTTTGTCCATTCCATGTTTATCTACTTGTACCTTCATTCTAGTTGCCTTAGAGCCTCATTATGATCCAATAATTCCCTCTTTAGTGCTTCCACTCTTTCATCCCAACACACTCCAACAATCTGGGCAGGCATGTGTCTATACACTCTTTGTTAATTTGTCCACAACTATCATTATGGCTTCAAACCCTTTTGATCCTGAGAGCTCCATGATAAAAACACGACTTGTGTCCTCCCAAATCCTTTATGGAATTGGAAGTAGCTGCAACAATGCAACAATCCTCCCCAGGAATCCACAATATACTTTTGTTGTTGGCACATATCACAGGACCAAACAAACTTCATTACATTACTTTTCACCCTGCTCCAGTACAAGTTGGGTTCCAAACACTTATAGGTTCTATAAAAACCTAGATGTCATGTTTGTAGTGTCACATTAAACTACTTTACCGATTTGAGAATCCAATAGGACTTTTCTGCAATGACTAATTTGTCCTTAAACAATAGCAACTCTTGCTTATACATAGACCCTGATACACTTTTGACCATTTTGCAACCCATTACTTTCTTCCATTTAACATTTCATGCACCTCAACTATTAAAATTTGACCGTCTGATCAAATGGAAATGTGGACCATACTTAGTTTCAACGCTTCTTTGAAAGAGCATCTACAACTTTGTTCTGTCGTCCCTATTTATAAACAATCTCAAAATCGTACCCAAATAATTTAGCCATCTGATTTTGTTGACTTCTAGTGATGATTCGTTGTTGTAATAATAGTTTAAGGCTTTTTTTATAAGAAAATACCTTAAATTTTCTCCTCAACAAGTATGACCTCCAATGTTGGATACCTAGAACTAGTATCCATTAATTTCTTCTCATAGACATTTTGCATAAGTTTATTGATCCAACGCTTTACTATACTAAGCCACATGTTGACGAACTTGCATCAAAATGCCCCAATTCTGGTCCTGGACAGCTTCACATTCCAATTAAAATTTGAAGAACACTGAATTTGAATATGCTTTGAACGTAAATGAAACTAAAAAGTCTAAACAACAACTTCTAACATAAGTTAAACTAAGTCTTATTTATATATCAAGGAATGTGAAAAAATATACAAGCATAATCCATAGCCCATAAACATCAAATACAAAAATTAGAACTTGATTTATTATTCTCTAAAAATTTTGGTCTACAACACATGTAAAATCTAGTTAAGTTAGATAATAATGTCTTCGTAATTTTCCTTGACAATTTATGTGTTTTGTTGAATGGATTACTCCTTTTAGTAAATAGTTTTATGCCTTACTGAGTGATTTTTTCAATAATTGAGCGAACAATCTTTAAATAAAAACTCAAAATCTTCTTTATTTATCATTTTTTATTAATGTACAAACATTCACTATAATGTATAATTTAATTAATAATTTAACTAAAATATGTGTAACTCTATTTTTCAAAAACTATTTTAAGAATAAATAATTTTATAACAAAATAAAATAAATATACATAAAATATATTTATCAAAGAACTTTACACTTAAACGTTTGCTCTTTTAAGAAAATTTTAAAAAATAGAGAAGAAAATCATGAATGAATCTTGTACGACTTTTCATCACCTAGTTGTGTAAATAAGACTTAAGATAACTTAATTTAATATCTAATTTTTATTTTTCAATTTTGCAAATTAAAATGCAAGAGCATTTCTTTATTTTATTTTTCTCTAGATGATAGTTTAGACTTTTTAGTTTCTTCTGCATTCAAACTTAAGTTCTTCAATTCAATTTTTTTAATACAAGATGAATTTCGTCTTCTCCTCTAACATCTTTAAATTGTGATTACAAGATAAATTTATATACTTTTTGTACATTTGTATTTTAATTAACTATATTTAATTGATTCACCAGCTTCAATTAATATAGATACATGATTCAATTTTTAAAAAAGCAACCACAACCTAAAATTAATTTATGAAATAACTAATTTAATTCAACTAAACCATCTTAATTACATATGATATATTGAATTGTCAATGATTATAATAATGAATGAATTAAAATTCAGTCAATGATACAATATTCAAATTAGAAAATTAACCCTAAGAATTTAGTGAGTCCTAGCTAAACAATATAAAACAATAACAAAATGTAAATTATATTGCATGAACTATTAGAGAGATAGGAACTTGGAATTTGTTACCACATCCCTAAAAACTAGTTGTAAACAAAAAATATGGGTGGAAAAACTGTGAGAAATGGTTCTACCAAATGCCATATACCATAATTTATGCGAGTATGATGATGCGCTTCTTATACTTAAGACTTGGTTGATACATTTATTGTAGTTGGTCTTACAAGTGAACATTCTCACAAACACAATGAATATTTCTATGAAGCTCTTGTCAATACAACTCTTTTCATGGCAAAAATAAATTGATTAAAACCATGATTACTAATTCACAATAGTTTTGTACTAAAGACACAATTATAGAATATTTTTTCGTATCCAAATTAATTATACATATTTATAAATAATTATCACCTACTTATATCTTATAAATAAATAAATTATATATATATATATATATATATATATATTTTTTTTTTTTTTGCATAAGAGAATAAATATACATATTCAAGTGAAACAAGAGTATATGTTAAACTAATTCACATTATCTTCTGTAAACGAAAATTGGTATTGGAGCAAATGGTCGGTTTAACATCTGGAGCTTGCAGCAGATCCAATTCTCAACACACAAACCAGCAGCAAAAGATTCAACAACTTCCAATTCTTCCCTGGAAATAAACCAAACTATCAAATAATATGTCATGTAGATGAATACTACATTTTTTTGAAGAAAATATAATGACCATAAAATCATGCAACCCAGTTAGCGTGTACGAATCAGAAACATTATTTGAATTGCTTCCCTGACTATAAATAAGATATAAGATATAGATAGCTAATTCACAAATTTTAAGAAAGTTGGTTAATAGCAATAAACCTGTCGCTATTTATAATACTTTTCCATGAAATATCCTTAAAAGTATTGGGAATATCTGTCATTTTTTTTACTTCATTACTTTTCACCTAAATAATTAATTAATTATATGGAGTAATGATAGGGGTTATTCATCTTCTTCAATCTTCTTCAGAAAGAGAAATAAGCAATTAACAAAATTTATTATTTTATAGTAGAAGAATTAAGGGTATTTTGGTAAAACGATTAACACAACATACCATTAGAAGAAATCCAATGAAAAGAAATACAATGTCTTATAATTAGAAATGGAAGGAGTACTGAGATGCTCAAGTCTTCACGGAAGCAAGTGAAGCTTTAAAATGTCATGGGTAATTCAAAACATTGATGGAAAACTGGCATATCTGGCAATTCAAAGATCTCTATTAATGAAACAAAGTATAAGGGGTCAGAAAAATCACCGTCCACCAGGGTGCCCCACATACACCACTATGCTGATGAGCCCACCTGGCATCAGAATTCTCTTTGCAGCTTCCAATGCCAGTGATGTTGTTTCTGATCCTGTTATTATCCCTTTGTCACCACCAGGAAGATAGCCTAAGTTGAATGCAACGAGCCTATGCAGAATATTAAGATATATAAGCAAATTCAGGATATTGTATCCAGCAACTCACCATATGTTTGATAATAAGAAATACATTAATGCAATCATTAGTCAAGCTTACAGCTAAGATAGATTATATTTAGGATGATCAATGTAACGCGCTATTTTTGAAAATCGTATGGACTTGTCTAGTCAGTTCCACTCGGAACCAGACTAAAAATAGATCCGCTGTTTTTAAATAATCAAACTTAATTAAACCGGAAAAAGACTTTTAGGTCGAACCTGGTAAAAAAAAATATTTAGATCAAATTTTTTTAATATAAATTTATTTTATAAAAGATATAATATATTTTATTTTTTTTTTCTTATTTTAACAATTATCCATCTTTTACTCTCTAGTATATTTTATATTTATAATTTTTATTGTAATTTATGGTAATTATGACAATAATCTTTATTATTTTTATTTCTTTTTATAAAAAACATTATTACTAATAAATTTATTATATTATAAAAATATTATTTTATTAAATCCGATTCAACTTGAACCTTTAAACATTGAACTCATGTCTTTCCCCGGTCCAATTTTAAAAACATCGATGTAATGTTTAAGTAGAACTAAATTGTATCAAAGTTGATGAAATCAACATTCAAAATTACTATTCTTTAGGAATCTTATTATTTAAAAATAGTTTTGGTAATGTTTCAATACGCACAAAATTCTCCCATGGAATTAAGGCCTTGGATACACTATTTTCCCTTAATTCATTCAAATGTTTTTTTAAGAATAAAAACATGGATGCTATCTTAGCAGACTTAGCCCAAGAGTCCTAAGTCTATTATCAAATCAGCCTTTAGAGCCTCACTGTATATGGAAGGGTATGCTAATGCATTGTTCTAAAATATAGAGACATTTCTGTTTAGACTTGGAAAAGATTCATGCAATGAGGCCATGTAGGAATAAAGACTGAAATTATAATTCTTCTTTCAAGAAATCTGTATGAAGAATATAATAGATTTCATTTCAGTTAGTACAATTTAAGAAAGATTATACCCCAATCCTAGTCTCCAACATTATAAGCATCAATGATTTTAGTTCCTAACTTCACCAAATCCATGACTTAGCAAAAAGGTAATATATTTGAGTCATTTCTCCCTTTAATTTCCACTGTTCTTTCATATTAGAAAAGAACTAAAGTGGATGATGTTTTGCAAAGTTTGGGACTACTGCAAAAATTTTAAAAACTCAAGGACTAAAGTGATTAATGCTTACAATTTTGATGACAAGGGTTTGCTGATGAAAATAACTAGACCAGTTATTTATAATAGCTTCTAAACACGAAGTAGGAACAGGGGAACATGAACAAGTACCTAACTGAGGCATTCCCTGGAACAACATTCTCCATTTTACTATGGCAGATATTGAAGAGCTTGACAAGTTGTTTCTGCATGTATTTTGAAACTGTTGTTGGTGACAAGAAAGTTCTGTATTGTTGTCAAATTAGCTACACCAAAACTAAATGGATCGACTCCAGTTCAAGTGCTAAGACTATATAGCAGGATCGAATGACATACTAGTACTTTTGTCTATGGCCATATAACATTAGAATTTATAGTTCTAACCTCTTTAGAATTAAGTGCCTTTTCCAGCAAGAGTGAAGTGTTATCCAAAGCATCTCTTTGAATGTCTAATGCATATACATAACCATCATGAGAATCATCAGCAACTAAATTAAGCATTGCTAAGGTGTCAAAACCATTGCCACAAGTGGCATCAATGACAGTGTCTCCTTTTCTGACAACCTGTTTCCACACCCTGGTAAGGACAAGAAATATATTTACTTATTATCAAGCCTTTACTACCATAATTTGTATATGGGCCTATTTGGACAAGTTTCTCCAAAAGCATTTTAAAGAAAAAAAATAAGAAGAAAAATTAAAATGAGTTTCTCCACAAATTAAATTTAGCTTACACATTAACTAATTTATAATAGCTCTTTAATATAATTTTTCAAAATTCTTACTTTTAACTTGTGCACAAGCTAATTTTAACTTGAGCAAGCAGATCTTATATAGATAAATATGAGAATAATGACAAGTATAAGTGACAAAGTATGTGCTGCAAATTTATAAGCTGCAGGCCTGCCAAATAGAGTTCTGTAACAAACAAGAAATATGATTACTTTAAACTGAACCTAAAATCCTTTTATAAGCAGGGAAACTGAAATAGATATGTAACAGAAGCTCTCCAAGTTATATCACAAAGAATCAGAGAATTTTGCATCAAATTATTAGGATTTAGGACTTCTCAAAAAAATGATTAGCTTAGCCTCTGCCTCTGTATGTGATACAAATGTAGCATGAGATCAATTCCAAATGTAGCATTCATGTAAATAATCAAGCATATGCAATATAATTTTCTAGTATCATACTCATAAAATATCCGCTTATGCATACTTAAAAAAATTATCTCTATGATCTATTTGTGGAAACAAATAAATCTGACAAAACAGTTCTAGATTAGAATATCAGCATGGATGAGAGAAAAATACAGCATGTACAAAAATTTGAAATGTTAATCTGCCGCTTTATTAGAAGAAACAACGGCAACTCAAAATTGAAAACTTAAAGGTCACAAACATGAAAGTGCTTTTTTTTAGAGGTGCAAAAGTAGAAGATTCAGCCACTGAGGTATTAAGAACACAAGCCCTGGACAACAACTGACTTATCCTTCGAATAGTAACCTAAAAATGAAAAAGAAAGCAGAAATTTTGGAAATAGAAGCATTTCAATTTTAAAGACATTATAGGATAAACCAGTTCAATGATTACATACATGTGAGCAATGTCAGTTGCCCTCTTCTTCCCAAAGAGATAACTCACCAGAGCATCTTCCAATCCTGAAAAACAAGGTAAGGGCATTTGAACATTTCTAAAAGATTATTATGCACATCTGTTTGTGCCAGTGCCAGTGCCAGTGCCACAAACACAACCTTTTTTAGGCTTACAAAAGGGAAATGGATACCTGAAAAGGGAGAATCTTTAGGGAAGGAAGAAGAGGATTGAAGTTCACTGGCCACTGGGAAAAATCCAGTTCGCTGATTGGGTTCCCCAGAGTAGCAACGGAGATTTTTGGAACTGTTGCTTAGGTTAAGTATTTGGGGAGGAACCAAAAACAAGGTTCTTCGCCAAGAACATGAAAGGGTGTTGTCAGTGACCAAAGACGAGAACCAAAGTCGCAGAGACAACATTGACTATTTTGAATTCAATGAATGGTTTCCTCGGATTTCAAAATCATATACTATATTAATAAAACAATACATAATTTTTCTTTGTGGGAACATAAATAAGATGAAATTGTTTAAAATAGGAAGAAATTGATTAAAATTAAAATAATTCCTTTGTGAAGCTTATATAAAATATTTATATTTATTTTTAAGAAATTTTTACTAAAAATTTATATTTTATATCTTTATTTTTAAACAACTATTATTAAAAATGCTAGAATTATTCTTAATTAACTCTTTGGGTATAAAAGGTATACGATAAACAAACAGTATGTTACAAGGTGGTTGGTTGGGCTTTTAACTTTAAAGAAGATATTTGCACCCTATCTTTATTAATTAAATACACTCGTTCTTAAAAGAAAAAGAAAAAATTGAATAGTTTAAAAAATAAAATAAATGCTAAGAAGTATTAGGAATTATATTTTAATATAAAAAATGGTATTTCGTAAAATTATTTCACTTTTTTTTAAGTTAAAAAATTGTATTTCTTGATAGGATTTCCAAATTTTTTAAAATATTATTACAATTTGCTTATTTTTATTATATTAATAATAATTCAATAATAATAATAATATATTTATATCAAATAAAAATTAAATGGACTTAATAAATATTTATATGTTGATAAAAAATTAAACTAAGAATTTCTAAAATTATGAGATTCACACCGCACATTTATTATATATTATAGTACATAAATTATAACCGTAAAATTTTTATTAATGATAATAAAATTTTGAACCAGTTAGTCTAGAATTTCTTAAAATGAAAACTAAAGAATCTAATTAGAATACTTAATAATCTTAATTTAATATTTTACTTCTTAAAATGATGAAAAAAAAGTGAATAATAAATATTTACTAAAAAGAGGTGTATATGTAATATGAATTGTAAATATCATGGCCTTAACAAAGTCTAGTGTTTCAATTTTTATAAAAATTACCCCTTTTTAATGTGTATTAAACCATAAAGTCATATTTTTTTACTTTAAAAATAAAACTTATATATTTATTTTTTATTTCTGTATATTATTAAAAAAAATTACAAAAACTTAGAATAAGATATTCTTGAAATAGATGGATTCCATGATATATTAGTTAAACTTTTGAACAATCGGTAGGAGCAAAGGAAACTTTCTTCCCTTCGAGATCATACTCCACTTGAAAATCGAACTGTGAAAAGCTTCCAATGATGGAAATTCCGCTCAGTGTGCTTGGCACCATCGTCAAGCAAAGCATGTTGGTATCTCCGAGCGCAATAAGCAGGTGTTCAGGTCTCAGCGAAAGACTAGCTCCGGTGAACTGAAACGCAATTGCAGGAAAAGCCAAATTATCACGATACGGAAAACAAAAGTGTAATGGTGACGGAATATCTTGCAGTAACTCAACGCCAAGGGTTTCTTGCAGCGAAGCCGCGACATTGTAGTAAAAGGTTGGTTCAAGGTACGTCAACACGGTGCCCGAATCAATGATCACGTTGCCGTCAGTGCTACCTGTTGCCAGCGTCTTTTGTCCAATGGTGACGGCTTCCAGGTTGAGGAAGTAAAAGCTGGGTAACGAAGGTTTGATTATCAACGGGGTGGACACGACACCGTTTCCAGTTATTATTGCATCGTCCCCGAATTTCAACTTGCTGGTGGAGGTTGAATTGAAAGGAAGCAAGCAGTAGGAGAATTTATGACCGATTTGGTCACCGATTTGTGAAACCAACGACAATGGTCCAGCTCCAAGACCCACTAGTCCAGTTACTTTGTCGCTGGAAAAAACAGTGAAGTTGTTGTACAATCCACAACCGAAGATAGAGTTAGGAAAAGAAACAGTTTGTGTCCCACCTTGGGAAGCAAAACTTAGGGTTTCGGTACTCAATAACCCTGAGGTGAATGATTCGTCACCGTATTGATATATGTAGATGCATTGAGCTGAGGTTCCGCAATGGCGGAGGTGAGGGGGGAGTAATAAGCATGGTTGTGAGTCACATGTGGTACCCATGAATGTGGAAGATTGGAGTGGTTGAAAGAAGGGGGTGTTTTGGGGAAAACAATGGACACAAGGGGAACATTGTACCCAAATGAGATCACTCCCTGTGTCTGCAATAGCAAGCCTTTCGACGGGAGGAGTACCAATGTGAAATCTCATGAGGTATTCACCATTGTCTGGGATCAAAATTGATTCCGGTAGTTTGTTGTTTTGGTCTAGGAAGTGGGAAACTCTGTTTAGGCGAGAAATGGAGCGTGCGGCAGCGTTTATGATGCGCTCTGATGGGGTGAGGGAAGGGTTGTAGAAGGGTGAGAGTGGTGATTCATGGTGGATAAGGTCGATGGTGAAGCCACTAGGATTTTCATTGGCTTCTGTAGAGGATGGAGAAGAAAGGGAGTAGAAGGCTAAAGAGAAGAACAGCAAAGGATGCATGTTGAGGAAATCAAACAGACTAATTCAGAAGTGATGGAGAGCATGTTGGTATAGTCTATTTATAGATTTTTGAGTTTTGCATGATTTAGGAGTGTTTACAATACACTTTGTTCCTTTGGGAAGTGTAAATGTATGCTTGGAAGGTTCCAAAGGGTGATCAAAACACAGTTATTTCTCCATGTCTAGTTGGGGTCAAGTCAAGTTGTGCAATGGTTTTCTGTCTCAACAAAGAGGCAAAACGAGAAATTGTTTAATGATTATGATTAATGGTTTTCGGTCTGAACATGGGTTTATGCATCATTATTGAATAATGATTATTCAATAATCATGATTTATGCATCATCTTCAGTATCCAAAGGTTATAGTTTTTAATTCTCCATAGAGAAAGGGTTTTACTGTATTCATGGTTATGTATATGCATTTGCATAAATTGTTTTACCTACTATAGCGAAATGAAGCTGAACAACTTTCTGACACGATAATGTTCCTAAGAAAAATATATTTGGCTTACTTCTCTACTTTTAATTTGAAAAAAAATAACATAGGCGTATGATACCAAAATGTTTTAACATTTAAGACTTGAATTGGAAAATTAATTTTTTAATTACAACAGTTAAGAAATATTTTACTATTATTATTATTTTATTTTAGTGTGTGAGTTCTTCTCGCCACATTGCTGGATAGCCAAAAATTAATCAAGAACTTGAAAATAATTGTTTTTCCTTTGTGATTCCGTGGAAGGATATGTTCGAATAGTTTTTTTAAAAATATTTTCAAGAGAAAAAAAGAGTGAACTTATTTTTAAAATCTTTTGTACTAACTTTTTTAAAGTCAAATTTATAATTTATATAAGCTAATTCATATAGGTTATATTGTATTAAGTTTTTAAAATCAGTTTTTACTTATGAATTTTATTTTCAAACATTTTAAGAAATTTATGAATACAGACTCTTGATATCTTTTTGAAGCATTTGTTTTTACTTTAATAAAATGTAATGTTCAGAAGTTAAATGTGTTTATAATTTGAATTATTTTTAATTTAGGTTTTTTTCTCACGTTAAAGATTTTATTTAAATAAATCTATTAATGATCTTAACTTTAAATTCTTAATTTAGATAGGTTATAATTTTTTACTACATGAAAAATATAAAATATTAAATTAAAACTAAAATTTTAATATTAATAGTTATAAAATAATCATTAGTCAATTTTGAATATTTAATAATTCAAAAATTAATATTATATAATATTCATAATAGGTATTTACTATATTATTTTAAATTTTAATCATCTCTACGAGGAAAAAATAATTAAACTATTTCATATTTATTCACTTTTCTATTGTCTTTCTTCAAATAGTCGATTGTTCTCATCACACAATGCAATTCCGTTTTTGTCTTCTCTTATGTTTCATTGTTATGTAAGATTCTTCTTATTTTTATTATTTATATTCTATATATTGAAATGAATTAGAAAATATATGTAATCATTATACATAAGGTAGGGGTTGAGTATTAGATAATCTCTACACCTAGTTCTGAGGAGTAGTCTAGGATTGTCCATTTAATATAATCTTCTTATTGTATCAGTTTTTATCTATATAAATAGAGAACCATGAGAGGGGTTCTTCAAGCCCTCTAAAAACATTTTTTTCTCTGTTTTGAATATCAAGTTGGTATCAGAGTGGGTCAATCCCATTCTGCATGTCTCTGTAGTCTTCGACACTATTTTTGTCGTCGTTCGTCGCTGCCATCTTCATCGCCGGCCACCGTCTCCGGTCATCCAATTTTCATCGGCGACCACCGGATCTGAATCGCCTCATCATCGTGCGACAGCCAATCCCGCGGGTCCCGGAAGCTCGTTCGCCTCCATGCGCCGCCTTTCTCTCTGCTGCATCCTGGCCTGTGTCAGGCATGGCAACGGGGCGGGGCGGGGGCGGGTTTTGCCTCCGTGATCCTCGTCCCCGACTTTTTTAACCATCCCCCAATCTCCGCCGGGGTTCGAAATTAAGTCTTCATCCCCGTCCCCGTTGGGTTTCGGGTTCCCGCCCGTCCCCGATCTATATTATTTTTAAAATGATAATTATATTTATAATAAATTAATTTTACTATCTATTTTTTATATATAACTAAATATTTATAATTTTATAATTTATAATTATTATTAATTAAATATACATTTTAATTTATTATATTTATATTGAAAAAAAAAATATATATATATATATAAAAGAAATATTTAATCATTTTTTATTTATAATATTATTATTATTATAACATCTGTATTGAAATATTTGGATACTTATAACATTATTATTATAATACTGTATTCAAACATTTGATTATATATATAAGTTAATTCATTTTTAAGTTTTCATTTAAAAATATGAAATATATAGTTTATAAGGACAAATCATGATATGGTGCCCTTCATGAATGACGCTCAGTCAGCTATGGAAGAACTAAAGATATTCTTGGAAGTCGACTCCTTGGATGAAATGAAGAAGAAACTTGACAAGTATTACATGGTGATGATCATTCGCGCAATATATCCTGACTTTAACCATAGCAGAGATAAATTTTTTACCACTCATGAAGTCCCTTCCATGGATACCCTAATCATGCCTGATTCGTGTACCGGTGCCTGAAACTCGGGAAGCTCTTGCTCTAGTAGAATCATATGTCATGGTTGCCACACGAGGAAGAGGTGGACGTAGCACAACATCAGAGGAGGAGGACGTCCCCAATGCACTTACTATAAGAGGATGAGTCACACATAGAAGAACTACTACTCCTTGCATGGTTTTCCTCCCAAAACCGCCAATGTCTCGAAGGCTGAAATCGTCGACTCCAAGTTCACTGAGGACGAATATCAAAAGTATCTACGGTTGAAGTCTAATACCTTGGCACAAACCTCTCAAACTCCTAGCACATCAACTGCTTGCATTTCTCAATTTGTGGAGGGTCAAAATTCATGGGTAATTGATTTTGGTGCTTTTGATCATATAATTGGTAATACCTCCTTGTTCTCAACCGTTTCCTTTCAAGAAAAACAACATTTCATAACCCTTACAAATGGTTCTAAAGCTTCCTCAATGGGAGTGATTCAAGTTTCCTTGTCTCCCTCCATAAGCCTAAAATCTGTCCTTTTTGTTCCTAATTGTCCTTTCAATTTAATTTTCTTAAGCCAGTTAACCAAAATCTTAAATTGATCAATAACCTTCGATAATAAATCTTTTGTTATATAGGAGCATGGTTAGAGAAGATGGATTGGAGAAGGATATGAAGCTGGAGGATTATACCTTTTTGGCCCTCGTCCACATGTGTCCTGTGTTGCTACTCCAAGCCCTAAAATGTTACATGATCGACTTGGTCATCCTCATTTGTCAAAATTAAAACGAATGTGTCCTGAACTTAGTGGTCTCTAGACCTTAGAATGTGAGTCATGTCAACTAAGAAAATAAGTTAGATCTACCTTTCCTAAAAGGTCTCAATCAAAGTGTACTTCCAGTTTCTCTATTATCGATTTTGATATTTAGGGACCCAGTCGCATCTCATCTTTGATTTTTGGTATTTTGTTACATTCATTGATGAATATTCATGATGTACTTAGGTTTATCTTATGAAAGATCGCTCTAAATTGTTACCCATCTTTACATCCTTTTTGAATGAAATAAAAAATCAATTCGATCAAGTAATCAAAATTTTAAGAAGTGACAATGCTAAAGAGTACTTCTCATCCACCTTTTTTGTTGTTTTAAGTTCACATGAAATATTGCATCAATCCACCTGTCCTTATACACCACAGCAAAATGGTATAACATAAAGAAAAAATAGACATTTGGTTGAAACTGTACGTACCCTTTTGTTGGGTACCCATATTCCAGTCCATCACTGGGGGGATGTCATTTTAACTGCATGTTTTCTTATTAATAGGATGTCATTTTTCTCTCTCAGTAATAAGGTCTCTTTCTCTATTCTATTTCCAAATTATCCTCTCTTTCACAGCTCTCTTCGAGTTTTTGGTTGTGTATGCTTTGTTCATGACATGTCTCCAGGGTTAGATAAGTTTTCTGCTCGTGCTATCAAATGTGTCTTCTTGGGCTATTCTCGCCTTCAAAAAGGGTATCGATATTACTCTCCTGAAACCAAGAAGTACTACATGTCTGCCAATGTTACATTTTTTGAATAGACTCTTTACTTTTCTCCTTCTGCTCAAGATGTTCATGTCATACAGCAGGTCCTTCCCATTCCAGTGGTTGAGTCTAATATTTCCAATGTCTCTATCGATCTCAGTCGTGATCCAAGTCTTCCTGAACCATCATTTCCTCACATTGATATTGTCAATCAAAGGGCCTCGATGGTTAGTCCTGCTCTCTAAGAAGAGGGTGAATCCCCCACTTTAGATTCTTCTCCAACGTCGCTTCCTACCACGACTCCTGGTGAAGGTGATTCAGGATGGTCCATTGCTCTCAGAAAAGGTACTCGTTCCACTCGAAACTCACATATTATTTATAATTTTCTTAGCTATCACAGATTATCGTCTTCCTATTGTTCCCTTTTATCCTCAGTATCTTCTATTGTTATTCCAAAAAATGTGGAAGAAGTACTTTATCACCCTGGATGGCAACAAGCCATGACTGTAGAAATGCAGACTCTTGACCATAATGCTACTTGGGAGCTCGTGCCCCTTCCACCGGGCAAAAAGGTAGTTGGTTGCCGCTGGGTGTATGCTGTTAAAGTCGGCCTTAATGGTGAAGTTGATCGGCTCAAGGCTCGGTTAGTTGCAAAAGGGTACACTCAGGTTTATGGCCTTGATTATTGTGACATTTTCTCTCCCATGGCCAAGATGACTATTATTCCTCTGTTCTTTGCAATGACTACCATTCGTCACTAGCCACTTCATCAATTAGATATAAAAAATGTCTTCCTACATGGTGATCTTGAGGACGAAGTTTACATGGAGCAACCTTCTGGGTTTGTTGCTCAGGAGGAGTCTGG